GCATTTAACCCCTATATATTCCTTCAGCTTGTGGAGAACTGTGAGGGAGGAGGCGGTAGGATTCCCATTCTCAGGGAGAAGGGACATCAAGGTACACTGTACTTTGAAGTTAGAGGAATGGGTAACAGATCCAGCTCAAATTCCAGCCCCACCAGGACACAAGAACCCTCCTGCTGGGGCAGAAGCCCCAGCTCCCTCCTGGGGCCCTGTGTTATTTCAGTAGTGGACCGTTAGACCACAATGGTCAAAGTGGTGGGCATCTTGAAAGGGACACTGAGAGTGAGCAGTCTTGGGACATCATCAAGGAGGTGCCTGTCAGCAGGCTGGCTGAGGGGCAAGGCCAGAAAGAAGCATCAGGAACTGACCAGTGAGCTGAGTAAAGCGGAGCTCGCGCAGCGCATGGCTGGAGTTGGTGTTATAGTTCAACATGACAAAGATGGCGAACTTCCCATCGTAGACCTGAGTGCCCCGCACCACCCGGAGGTTGGGCAGTGGCAGTGTAGAGAACTCATTCATGGCCACAAGGACATAGCCGGTCACTTCTCGGATCCACTGTGATGGAGGAGATCATGTCAGTGAGAGGAACAGCAGGGGAAAAAGTCTTACTCCCTCTCCCTCCCTAAGGCATTGAGGAATCCTTAACTCCTCTAATTCTTCTAATTCCTACTTTGCAGTAGAGTAGACAGTGTCACACTACTGTGTCCCTTCTGCAAGTGAACACAGGCAGCAGCAATGATGGAGGAATTCCAGCCTTCTACTCTGTCCTTCTCAGAGCTCCTCATGCTAGAGAATCCTTGCACAGTCCCTTTCTCATCTCCCAGCTTCCTCTCAGCCCTCAGTGTCTCTCTACATTAGTTCCTGGTGTGGAACATCACCCCGCCCCTGCCCCCTTCTCATGGCCAGCCCCTCTCTATCCTTGGCTACAGCGACCAGACCATAGTCCCAGATTCCAGTCATTGTCCCATAAACACCTAGGTTTGGATCTTAGGAACTATGGAGTCTTAGGAATGCTGAACTCCAGCAGAGGGTAGCCCCGAGGAAGGGAAGGAGGCTTCTGCAGGGAGGATAAGGGGGAACAGGCTGAGGAAGGGGGTTGGGCCCTCTAACCTGCAGGAAGGAGAGGTCAGCATTGTGTCCTGTGAGCACAATCTCCAGGTTCCCCATCACCACCTCACACCTCTCATAGAGCTTTTGCAGCGTCTGGTATTGGTTCTCGGCATCACCAGTCACACTCAGCCCATTCAGAGTCCCAGGACACACTGTTCAAAGCGGAAGTAAGAGGGGCAGAGGGCTGGACACAAGTTTCCAAGACCACCGCTTTGGTCACCCTCTTCCAGTAACATTCAATAGCATCAGAAGGCAGCTGCCTCCAACCCTCACCCCTACAGACAGACACAAAGGCCCATGTGGGACCGAGAGCCTGAACTTCCTCTTTTCTCAGAATCCCCTCACTATTCCCCTGAACAAGAAGGTGAAACGTTTCCTTTTTCCACCAGGACCTCCTCTGTGTCTCTTTCAGGTACTACTTTGGGTACTAAGAGGTTAATCAAGGAGGGTGTAGGTTTTTTTCCCCCTCCCTACAAAGAAGTTTTAGGAAAGGACCACGACGTGGTTCCCCTCTCCTCTCCCCCCTCCCCCCTGCCAACCAGGGCACTAACTTTTCTACCCCCATCCTGCCTCTCTCTAGATCCCGGAATAAATATCTCTTTGGGGCTAGTACACAGCCCCTATTGTGTCTACTGAGGGTGGGATGGGGGCAGAGGGTGGGGGCACTGCCTGGGGCCACAGTCCAGCCCACAATGAGGCGATTCTATCTAGGAGGAGGGGGCTGCCCCACCCTGTCCCCAGACACCCTGTCCTCAGCACTACCCCCCTTCCACCCTTAAGACTTGGGCTCAGGCAAGTGACCTCACCAGAGGGGGGAGCTCTGGTGGTGGTGGTGGGGTCAATGTGAGCTTTGTCTTCAAGCTGGAAGATAAGGAGCTGGTTGCCTACCAGGTCCCTCCTTCCTAAACTCTGGCTTCCCTTCTCACTCCCTTTCCCCATCCCAGCACACTCCAGCTCCCTCAGCATCACACTTTCCAGGCCTAGAGTATTTTTCAGCAAATGCAGAGAAGCCTGGAGAGAAACAGCAGCAGACTCCCCCCATTCTGAGGCTTCAACTCAATGTCATTGTCAGAAGAGATTAAAAAGCCTTCCAACATGGCAATCCTCACTCGCGTTGGGGGAGCGCCTAGACTCAAGGTTCATAAGGTATGTCGGTCTTGGGGGTTCACTTTACCTTGTCAGTATGGAGGACACAGGGGCTATGGGAAATCCTGGACCCTGAACTCCTACCCTTCTCTTTCCGCTGGCTCAGTGAAAGAGTGTGGGTGGGGGGAGATACCACCTGTTCCAGCCACCCTTCCCTGAGGCAGTAGAGCTTAGTGGGAGGCAGGAGTGGGAAGGGAAGGAGGGAGATTGGTGAGGCCCCAACCTCTCCTCCTAGATACACCCCTACTCTGACCACTTGACTTTTGAGGGCTCCCATTTGCTATCACTCCCCAAAAAGGGAAGGGGGTGGGCTAGACCCAGCAGAAGGGTAAACAGGCCGGGAGCTCCCAGAGGAGCCTGGGAACTCCAGGGTCCTTGGGCTGAAAAGAGAGATTAGGAAGGTTAGTCATTTCTGGACTAGCCCCACCCCAACCCCCTTCCTGGCAGGACACCCCCTCTTCCAAGTCAAGGCGCCAACTCTTCTCCCTAGATAAGGGAGGAGCCAAGATTTCTGCAGAGGGAGGTGGTGTGTGTGTGGTGTACATGTACGCACATACGGAGGAACAAGTACACAGCTCCCCTGCTGGCCCAGAAATTGATACAGGTTCTGTCCTTGGGTTTCCTTGTTAGGAAGTATTGCAGGTGGCCCCGTCCATCCCACCTGCCCATACGTGCATGTGCAGACTTTGTGTCGCTGCTTGGAAGGCTATAGCGTTAGAGGTCCCAGTTCCCTGCCACCCCAGAGGGTAAAGTCCGTATTACACAAACAGGGAGCAAAGGGCCTGGGCGGGAATAGAGTAAGAACAACACCTCTGAGGAGGAACCCGCAGCTTGGGGAGGAGGGCAGGGGGGAGGAAGTTATAAAAATCCCTGCTGTACCCAGGGACCAGGGGCATAGGGAGGGGCAGTGTCACAGGCCCTCCTTTGGTAGAGAGCACTGGGGTGGGTCACAGCAAGAATCTCCGGCCCCTCCTCAACCAGAGGCCTCCTCTCCAACATCCCCCACCCCCATCACAGCCAGGACAAAGGGGCTATAGAAGGACTGAGACAGGGCCGGATGCCCAGAGGCTGCAGGATCCAGATAAAGGGTAAAGAGACCCAACCATGCCTGCCTCCTGGCTCCCTAAGGGAAGGTGGCCAGGATCTGGGACTCCTGGGTTCCCGGTTGAAGATCCCAGGGGTCTGGATGGGACAGTGATACAGTCACTCTACTGGGTCCCTCCCACTCCAGTCCCCAGACCCCCGCCCTCCACCAGCTGGGAGTGTTCACATCTCAAGATCCCAGGGTCTAAATTTAGGCCCAGCAACTGTGGGGGAAGCACAGGTGTTTCTCCCACTCCCACCCTGGGGAAGGGGCCCTGGCTGGGCCAAACCCCAAGCTGAGATCTTGGGGGGAAGGGAAGAGATCAACAGGATTCCCCCAATGCCAGCAATAACAGCACCCCTCAGGTGTCCATTGTCCCAGAGATGCCCCAAAGTGTGTGTGTGTGTGTGTGTGTGTGTGTGTGTGTGTGTGTGGCTTAGATGGCATGGGAGTGGGAGGAGGAATAGAAAAGCAATCTGACTCTAGTCCAGACTCCTAGAGACAGTCAGACAATAAACAGAATGGGGGTGGGGGAGAAGCTGGATCTAGGAAAGACTCCCCAGGACAGGAGGCTCAGAAGGTAGGAGAGATGACCTGTTGGCCCTCACGTTGGGGAAAGAAAAGAGAGAGAAATACAGGCTGGAAGTCCTTGACCCCACAGTTCCTGGCCCAGGGCCTTGTACATAGTAGATGCTCAATAAATATTCGTTGACCTGATCTGGGTCTTGACAAAGAGAGGCTCGTCAAGTCGTCAAGGACCAACCAGCTATATTATTTTGAGGGAAAGAGGGCAGTCAGCCTCTGCGTGGCCTCTCACCCTGATGTTACCTGGACTTGGCCCTGTGGTTAATTTCAACCCTCCCCAGGGCAGGCCCACTCACGGAAGAGGAGGTGCCTCTCTTGTTTTTCCAGCATCAGAGAACAACAACCCCCTCCAACCCTTCCATAGCTCCGCCCTGTCGGCAAAACAACGAAACTGGAGTGTGCTGAAACCCGGGGAAACAGAGGATTGGGGAGCAAACTGAGAGCCCCCCCCCCCGCCCTTCCGCCAAGATCTCCACCTCCAATCATCTCCTCACGTTAACAGAACGGAGGTCCCATCTCCCCTCCCTGCAGAGCCCCCTCGGAAGTGTGAGCTGTTTCGGCATCAGCCCTGTCCAGAGAGACAAATTCGAGGGTCGGCGACGCGCTGGGGAGGTGGTGGTGGTGGTGGTGGTCCAGGAATCCCGTCCCCGCCCGGATCACGCCGAGAACCCGAGTCTGACAGTCCCCGCCGAGGTGGTCCCAGCGGACCCAGGGTCAGCACCCCGAACCTAGCACTGCGGTAGCCCCTGCCCTCCAGGGTTCCGCGCCTTCGGCTCGGGATCCCGCGGTCCGAGCTGCCCGTGCTCCCGCGCCGCTTACCTGCCTGCGAGTTGCCCACCTCGGAGCCCCGGGCCAGGCTGAGAAGCAAGCCCAGCACCTGCAGAGCCCGGTTCGCCCTCATGACGCCAGCGGAGGGTGAGGGGAGCCCAGCCGACTCCGGCCCGGGGGACCCCTGTAGGACATCGAAGCAGAGCCACCTGAGCCGCCAGCGAATTGGGAGAGGCGGTAGAGGAGGTTGCAAACTGCAACCGGAGCCGGAGCCAGAGTCCGGGGCGGGATGGCAGGGGAGGGTGTAAGTCTGCGAGCGCGGAGGAGGGAGGCAGGGGGAGGGGGTGAGTCACGGCCGCGCCCCCTCCGGCGCGAGGCTGGATAGGGATTGCCGGAGCCTCCGACGGCCCGCCCCGCGCGCCCCACGCCCCACTGCCCCGCGGCTTGGCCCAGCTGAGCCGGGATGGGTCTCACACTAATTTGTCTTCAGGAGCTGGACTAGGGGGAGGTCAGGATTCCAAACGCCCCAAATGCCTCCAAAGGAGTAAGGTAATGGGGGTGGGGAGAGCGCGTCAAAGCCCAGCCCCCGGAAAGTTGGCCTCGCCCATTAACCAAATCACTCAACTCCCCTAGCCGGTTGGGTCACTTGGGGAGTTTTCTCTCCGAATGTGGATGTTTCTCTCTGTGTGTGTTTTTGAGGGGGAGGGTGTTTTTGCCTCACGCTCAGGCCACCTCAGTTTCCCCGGAAACCCATCGAAACCCCATAAGTCATCCACCCTGCCGAGGAACCCGAGCCCCAGAGGCCGCGTGAAATTGCACTGTCTCCGGCCGCTTCCTCCTCCAGACCGGCGCCGGCCCGGCCTCTCCCGGGGATTTGGTTGAGGGGCGGGGGTGGTTTCCAGCCTGGGAACAGACCCCGAAGCCCGCCTTTTCACTTCCAGCCCGGGAGGGGCTCCCGCACCTGTCGCCGTCCCCTCTGCTGCCCCCCACGGCCGCCTGGGAGAACAGCTGCCTCCCCTTCCACGCTGGAGTCTGACCGCGCCGTCGGGGCGGCTGGAGTTCCCGCCGCTCTTCTGCGGACCCGGATGGGCACACCATCCCCACCGCAGGGGCTGACACCTTCCCAGGCGCCTTCCGAGCGCCGACTCGCGCTGGAAAGGAGGAGGAGGGGGCACTAGAGACTGCGTCCACGAATGACATCGACCCCTGGCACCTCAGCACCAGCTCCTGGATGCTGGCGGGAGGCGGTCGGCGCACCGCGAGCGGCTGCCCTAAACCCTGCGGGCCTCCGAACGGGTCCGACGGGCGCCCCCTGGTGCCCAGCGGGCAGCAGTGAGGCCCCCCGCGGCGTTGCATTTCTAATCTCTTAAATTGGCATTCTGGATCTCGCCCAGAGAGCGTAATTATTTTCCCCAAGAGTGTAAAGCCTGAAAACTTCAATAACAACTAGTTACGCCTGGACGAAGAAAAATGTCGCCTCTCACTCTGAACCAAGACTACGGGCTAAAATCCTTGAAACTTGCTCCGCATTGATATGCACCCTAGGGGGCCCGTTCTCTGCTGGAGGCTACCTTCGCCCTTGGGGCGTTGGCCTTGCCTTGACGACTTGCATAATAGTTATAATAGTAATAGCAACCGGGAAACATTAGCATATACGTACATAAACCACTTTATTTGCAAACGTTTCCTCAAACTTAGAGAATGTTTCCTTTACAAAACCTATGTGAGCTAGGCGACATCGCTCTTCATTTTACAGAACTGGAAGTGGGTAGCTTCTCCAAGGTCATCCTCTTGATGACGGTGGATGAGGTGATCAGGTGATCTGCGGAAGGGGCGCAGGGTTTGTTGTTGTTTTTTTTGGGGGGGGGGAAGATTAGCCCTGAGCTAACTGCCGCCAATCCTCCTGTTTTTGCTGAGGAAGGCTGGCCCTGAGCTAACATCCGTGCCTATCCCTTTACTTTATAGTGGGATGCCTACCACAGCATGGCTTGCCAAGCGGTGCCATGTCCATACCCGGGATCGGGGCCGCCAGAAGCGAACGTGCGCACTTAACCGCTGCTCCACCAGGCCGGCCCGGGGCGCAGGTTTTTACGTGGGATTTCTTGTGTCCCACTGAGACTGGAGTTTCATCTGCTCAGAATCAAATTCCCATCAGGTGACTGAGCTAATACCGCTTCAGGGGCCTTTCATTTTATCACTCATCCACTTCATAGTAGTGTTCAAGGCCCTGGTTCTGAAGGAGGAAACCGTCCTTACTTTCCTTGTTTGTGGAACAATTGTATTTACTTTTAAGTTTGTTGTTTGGATTTAATGAGAAAGGGTGGGTAGAGCTCTTCCTTACCTCGTTGTTCTTGACCTTTAAGAAGCATTCCCTGAATTCTAGCAGTATTTCTTCCTGTTATCACCAACCCCACCCCACCCCTCCCCAGCTGGATCCCAGGGTGTGCTTGCTGGTATTCATTCTTCAATACATCAAGCTGAGCATCAGGGCTATAAACACTGGATAAAGCTGACGAGTAAAGGGCCATCTCTGTTGGGTGCTGCCCTGATTGAATAAATGAAGGGAGATAGGCTTTATTTACGAAAGCTCTCTGCAGTTATCTGCCATCCCTTTATCTTTCCTTTCTCTTAGCTGATAATTTGGGTTCTTATTTTACTGTGAAAATAAAAGTAATCAAAAGAAAGCACCCTTATCTTTCTGCCACCAATTTGGCCAATTTACCTCGATCCTCACTTCTATGCTCTGACTTCCATCCTGTTACAGTGAATTGCCCTTGCTGCTCTTTAAGGCAACTGTCACTCCCCCATCCCTTACCCTACCCCAGCCTCAGTTCTGCACCTCAGTCCATTCCCTGATGCCCTTCTCCTGCATCATCCCCTTTCTCTTCTATTATCGATTTTCCTCTCTACTAGAGCATCCCCGTTAGCATACAAACTTCCTCTCTACTAGAGCATCCCCGTTAGCATACAAACGTGCTGTGATATCTGCCATCTTAAAGAAAGAAAACAAAACAAATTAACTTTCTTTGACTCCATGTCGTCTATTCCTCTGCCCCTAACTGCTGCAAGATATTCTGTTAGGTGGAGCTCTGTGCTTTATTTGTTCTCCGTCCAGTGATGGCCTCCAGCTTCCTGCCAGCATGAGCTGTCCTGCACTGAAAATCCTCCTACATGTCTCCTTTGCTTCTGGGATCATTTCTTGTGCATATTGAGCTCCACGCTCTCTGGACTGTCACACCATCGATGGTGGGATTTCTATATCCCAACTTCCTTGCCAATACTTGACATTATTCCGGTTTCCAATTTTTCAATTTGCCGTGAATTCAAAATGATACCTCATTACATTTGTTTAATTATGAATGTTTGAGCATCTTCTCAGATTTATTCTGTTGGTTTTTCTCTTTTATGAATTGCCTATTCATTTCCTTTGCCAATTTTTCCATGGGGATTCCCGTATTTTTATATTGATTTGCAGCAGCTTATTGTATATCTCAGATATTACTCCATTGATTTTAGACATTGCAAAGATCTCTTCCCAATTTTCATCGTTAACTCTGTAAGTGATATTATTTATTGAACCGAAAGCCTTAATTTTGGTATAATCTAATTAATCATTTTACATATGGTTTGTGATCGTGACATTTTTAAAGACTTTCTTCCCCACGCTTGCAGTGCCTTTAATGAGGTGTAATTGAGATATAATTGATATACAACAAACTGCACATATTTAAAGTCTACAGTTTGATGAGTTTTGACATATATATTTAACCATAACCACAATCAAGATAATGAACATATCCATCACCCAGGAAAGCTTCCTCATGCCACTTGGTGATTCCTCCTTCCTCATCCTCGTAATCTCCCCCTGCCCCACCCTAGCATGTGTATATCCAGTTATCCAGCACCATCTGTTAATAGTAGTAGATTTTTAATGCAAAAAAAATACTAGTAGTACATAGTAAAAATGGGCATTTGTTTTTAGTTATTTTGGGGGGGAGAACATTTCAAGGGAGGTATTTTACATACAGAATCCTTTGAACTGGACCTTGTCAAATAAATATTTAGAAGAGGTAAAAGGTATATGTCAAGTAAGTTTCATATAACATAAAACCCCTGCAAAAGGGATTAATGCAAAAAGCAAACAAAAAAACACATATGCAATTAGAACTAATAAGAACATTAAAAAAGATTTCTGAGTACAACAATATTACCCAAACAGTAGTCGTTATCTTGGTTCTAAAAGTGGATAATGAAAACGTGTGAAATGAATATTATTGGTCCATCTCACTTACGTATATATATACAAATATCCTAAGTAAAATACTAATCACACGATGTATTAAAAAATAATCATCTGCACACTTTTTCTAGTTTCTGAAAAACTTGCATAAAGTAGTAAGAAGCTGTTCTTGAAAGTCAGTAGCACGTATCTGTCAAGTCATCTGGGTCGAGACTTTCGGTAGGAAAGTCTTTGATTAACATTTTAATTTCTTTAATGCTTGTTGGCATTTTCAAGTTTTTAATTTTTCTTGGCCCATTTTTGCTGTTATTCGGATCTTCTATATCTCTACTTATTGTTTGCTTGATCCATCTATTTCTAAGAGAGCTATGCAGATATTTCCGCTTCCAATAGTTGATTAGTTGATTTATTTTTTTCTTTCCTTTCTTTTTTTTTTTTGAGGAAGATTAGTCCTGAGCTAACTACTGCCAGTCCTCCTCTTTTTGCTGAGGAAGACTGGCCCTGAGCTAACATCCATGCCCATCTTCCTCTACTTTATAAGTGGGACGCCTGCCACAGCATGGCTTGTCAAGCGGTGCCGTGTCCGCACCTGGGTCCGAACCCAGAACTGGCGAACCCAAGAACGTGCAAACTTAACTGCTGTGCCACCGGGCCAGCCCCTATTTTTTTCTTTCCTAAATTTGTTGACTGCTGTTTTATAACTGCAAAATGGGAAAAGAAGAGTACTTTCTCACAGGATTGTAATGAAGAGTATGAGTTAATGCATGTGAAGACTGTGGAGCATGCCTGGCCCATGGAAGGGACTGAGCAAAGTTAACTATTGCTGTTTATATATTTTAAGCCTACATTGCCAAACACATTTATGATGGTTCTATTTTCTGGCTCTCTTGTTTATTTTATTGTTATGTAACACTCTCTCCTTTGTCCTGTAATTTTTCGCCTTGAATTTCATCACATATTCAAATCTCAATTTACTTTTAGTTTATTTTTGCCTGGTAAAGTTGTTCCTTTTATCACAGACTGAGTTTCCAGGGAAGCCGAGTCTAAAGTGGAGACTGGAGTGCAGGCTGTTTAACGGTGGTCGCTCTTGTCGGAAAGGAAGGAAGCAGCATTGGACAGAGGAGAACTGGACTGCTGGGTGGCCCCGATGCTTCAGCTCATTCTGAAGGGAACTCAGAAAAGGTTAATATCCCATCCTCTGGAGAGCAAGTGTCTTACCAAAGCATCTGGCATACTTGCCACTTCCTGCTCAACCAGCCCAATTTGCATGATGTTACCATTATAGCAGATCAATATAGTGAAGTTCTGAAAGATGTCCAGCCGGTCAGGTCTCTTCAGATTATTTTATGACAGAGGGCAGGAGAGTTAACAAATCCCTGGGGTAAGACCATAAATGTATATTGTTATTTTTTCCAAGTGAATGTAACTTTTCTGTTCTTTTTTTTTTTTTTTTTTGAGGAAGATTAGCCCTGAGCTAACATCTGCTGCCAATCCTCCTCTTTTTGCTGAGGAAGACAGGCCTTGAGCTAACATCCATGCCCATCTCCCTCTACTTTATATGTGAGATGCCTACCACAGCGTGGCTTGCCAAGTGCTGCATGTCTGCACCCGGGATCTGAACCGGTGAACCCCGGGCCGCCAAAGTGAAACGTGTACACTTAACTGCTGCGCCCCCAGGCCAGCCCCTCTGTTCTTCTTTTTGATAGAGATGGAAAAGAACGTATTTGTCAGATCAATGGTTGCATACCATGTACTTGAGGCCCTGTTAATTTGCTCTAGCAATGATGCCACACCCAGTAAAGCAGCTCCAATTAAGGCTACTATTTGGTTGAGTTTGCAGTAGTTCACGGTCATCCTCCAGGATCTGTCTGTTTTTTGCAGGGGCCAGATTGGTGAATTAAATGAAGATACGATGGGGACTACTACCCTACTCCCTTTGCCTCCTTTAGATCTTTGTTGTCCAATATAGTAGCCACTAGTCATAAGTATCGATTTCAAGAAGTTAGAAAAAGAGCACAAATTAAATCCAAAGAAAGTAGGGGCTGGCCCAGTGGTGTAGCGGTTAAGTTTATACTCTCTGCTTTCGTGGCCCGGGGTTCACAGGTTCAGATCCTGGGCACGGACCTACAAACCACTCATCAAGCCATGCCCTGGCAGCATTCCACACACAAAATAGAGGGAGATTGCCAGAGATGTTAGCTCAGGGCTAATCTTCCTCACAAATAAATAAACCCAAAGAAAGTAAGTAATAAAGGTAAGAGCTGAAATTAGTGAATACAATATTCATTATGTAATTGAATATGTAATTAATACAATATTAAAGATCAACAAATCTAACCTTCTTCCAGTATTAGCAATAAAAAAGGTGGTTCCAGCCCAGTGGCAGAGTGATTAACTTTGTGCGCTCTGCTTCAGCAGCCCAGGGTTCACGTGTTTAAGTCTCCAGCACGGACCTATACACCATTCATCAAGCTATGCTGTAGTGGCGTCCCAAATACAAAATAGAGGAAGATTGGCAAAGATGTTAGCTCAGCAACAATCTTCCTCAAGCAAAAAGGGGAGGATTGGCAACAGCTGTTAGCTCAGGGCCAATCTTCCTCAGCAAAAAAAAAAAAAAAAAGCAGCACTATAAAAGGAGACTTCCTATAGCTTCTACAAGAGGATATTATGAATAACGTTATTAAAATAAAACCAGGGTTTCACTGGTTCTGATCCTGGACGTGGACATGGCACTGCTTGTCAGGCCATGCTGAGGTGGCATCCCACATGCCACAGCTAGAAGGACTCACAACTAAAATATACAACTATCAACTGGGGGGATTTGGGGAGAAAAAGCAGAAAAAGGAAAAAAAGAAGATTGGCAACAGTTGTTAGCTCAGGTGGCAATCTTTAAAAAAAAAAGAAAATTTCGGGGCTGGCCCCGTGGCTGAGTGGTTGGGTCCGCGCGCTCCGCTGCAGGCGGCCCAGTGTTTCGTTGGTTCGAATCCTGGGTGCGGACATGGCACTGCTCATCAAGCCACGCTGAGGCAGCACCCCACATGCCACAACTAGAGGGACCCACAATGAAGAATATACAACTACGTACCGGGGGACTTTGGGGAGAAAAAGGAAAAAATAAAATCTTTAAAAAAAAAAAAAAGAAAATTTAGTTGAGATAGACACGTTCTTAGGAAAATAAAATTTACCTAAACTGACCAAAGAATAGAAAATTCTAAATAGGGGACCGCCTGGTGGCACAGCAGTTAAGTGCACACGTTCCGCTTCGGCGACCTGGGGTTCATCAGTTCGGATCCTGGGTGTGGACGTGGCACCGTTTGGCAAGCCATGCTGTGGTAGGCATCTCACATATAAAGTAGAGGAAGATGGGCACTGATGTGAGCTCAGGGCCAGTCTTCCTCAGCAAAAAAGGAGGATTGGCAGCAGATGTTAGCTCAGGGCTAATCTTCCTCCAAAAAAGAAAGGAAGGAAGGAAGGGAGGAAGGGAGGGAAGGGAGGAAGGAAGGAAGGAAGGAAGGAAAAGAAAAGAAAGAAAAGAAAGAAAGAAAGAAAGAAAGAAAGAAAGAAACTGAGCAGGGACAATAGTCACAAAGGAAGAGGAGGTCCAGATAAACGTAGGGTAGGAGTATGGAGCCAGGAAATCTCAGAGAGCAAGCCGCCGTATTTTTGAACACTACCCAAAAGCAACAGAAGAGGGAGCTCTATCAAATAGAAAAGCTATCCGAAAGAATTCTTCAGAAAAATTAAATTCAGATAAAAATGAGCAACAGAAAGTATCAAATCCCGTACAAAGTTGCTGTAAGAAAAAAGAGAATAAGGAACACGCAAACATCCCTACAGACAAAGAAAGCATGCCAGAGAGATATGCTCACAAAATAGATGAAAATTAGGACATTTTATATTGAAATGAGCTAAAAGACATTAAGAAAGTGATATAAGAAATGAAAGAATAACACAAATCAAAATTTTAAAACACTCAAAAATGTTTGAAGTGATGAACTCAAGAAAAAGTTAGAAGCAAAAGAAAAAACATTTTAGAAATGAAGACTACATTATAAGGAGCATAAGAGCAAATAAATAAATAATACCTTAAAAGAAATTATAGATAAAGAATGAAAATCTTAAAAGTAAAAGGAAATGAAGTAAGAGGATTCAAGAGAAAGTGACATTTTTTTAAAAAAAAAAAGATTGGCACCTGAGCTAACAACTGTTGCCAATCTTGTTTTTTTCCTGCTTTTTTTCCCCAAATCCCCCCAGTACATAATTGTATATATTTTTTAAAATTGTGGGTCCTTCTAGTTGTGGCTTGTGGGACGCAGCCTCAACGTGGCCTGACTAGCGGTGCCATGTCCATGCCCAGGATCCGAACTGGCAAAACCCTGGGTTGCCCAAGTGGAGCACGTGAACTTAGCCACTCGGCCACGGGGTCAGCCCCGAAAGTGACAAATATTAAAGACAGACCAGGAAGCTATAAAATCTTGGGTTACATTTTATTTTCTCAGGTAACTTTGAGTGTCTTCAGGGATTCCACTAACAGGTTAATAGAAATCTCTGAAAAAGAAAACCAAAGCAAAGGAACAGAAAAAAACACCCAAAAACTACTCAAGAAAATTTTCCTGAAATTAAAAAACATTCAGCAGCAGTTAAGTTCGCACGTTCAGCTTCAGCAGCCCAGGGTTTGACGGTTCGGATCCCAGGTACGGACATGGCACCTCTCAGCAAGCCATGCTGTGGTAGGTGTCCCACATATAAAGTAAAGAAAGATGGGCACGGATGTTAGCTCAGGGCCAGTCTTCCTCAGCAAAAAGAGGAGGATTGGCAGCAGATGTTAGCTCAGGGCTGATCTTCCTCTCCAAAAAAAAAAAATTCAAAACTACATATTAAAAGAATATAGAAGGTACCTAAAAATATTGACCTGGAATGACCAACACCATGACATATTCTAGTAAAATTATTAGACTTTAGAGAGAGAA